TTCCGTGGAAATCAATTGATGAACTGTCACTTTTTTCCCTTATACCTTCAACCACATTTGGGTATAATTTACTTCCCAGTCCTCTTTTTGAAAGGCCTTGTGCTAGCAATGAAAATTTAATGATGATTATTGCTGGGATTCCATTCTGTGTTTAATCACTTACCCTTGATTTTTAAAAAATAGGCTATCGTGGATCTTTGCCATGCTCTTAGGAATAAACCCTTTTAAAATAAACCAAAGTAAAAAAAAAGTCAGTCTAACTTTAGAATAGATCGAAACAGAAAGAAAATTAGTGATTTAGTGGAAACCTTTTTGAAGTCAGTAAAAATTTATAGAACATTATTATATATTCTATATAGGAAATCGTTCTGTATGAAATCCTGGATAGTTACTGCCACTTAAGTGCTTCAATTCACTATAAAACATGAAAAGATTTGTTTGTTTTGCTAATATATTGTATGATGCTACTATGATTATAAATAATCATGTACAGTTTATTGCAATTTATATTGTGATTTTCAGACTCGGAAGTTAAGAGAAACTCAAAGTAATAACAGCTTGCAACAGTTGTTTCTTTAAAGTTATATTTTAGAGTGCAGTTTATAAAATCTGGAATATGCACAGTTAATAGTAAAGCATTTCAATTACTGTGTGTTCAAAGTGATCTAGATATTGAACCAAAAGGAGCTTTGTCAACCAGTGTTTTCTATAAACTATTAGGGATACAATGATGGAAAGATGATGAATACAATCAGTGTAAATGTTAATTTCGAAAGCAAAGTAGATACTTGGCCTTGTACCAAAAGGGGCAGAGTTCTGCTAATACTTCTAAGAAAATGGAGACAGTTTTAAAACAGACTCATTCCCTGCAGGAATTAAATTATGCAATAGATTCCAGAGTGTCTTAACAGGGCCTGTTTAAATACTTAGCTTGTTTGGTGCTTAACAATGTATTGTATACTGGGAACTTGCATTTTTGGCATGCCCTAGTAACTGTATTTTAGTCTTCCTGACAATTAAAATTGTTTAAAAAAAGCAAAGTTTGGAATGGAGCTGTTTTCTAGAGACGAGAAGAAGCTGAGAATGAAAAGCAGTGTTTAATCTCTGGCTACCTTGCTGTGAAACATGTTAGATAGCTTTAAATAAAAATAACACCCCCTTCCCCCATGCATTAGTAGAAAAAACATTGCATGTGAATGGGCAAACTAGTGAGCCAACTAAAAAAAGTGACAATCAAATTAAAAAAATAAAATGAGTTGGAAGGAATTTATTACATAGGGAACAATTAACAGAATCGGAAGGAGCCTCAGTTTTCTCCTTTCATAAATATTGGATAAACCATATTATACAACATCACTCCATTTCAACATTTCCTTGGTTGTAAATTAGAACTGAGGAGAAATTTCCTGACAGTAAGAACAATTACTCAGTGGAACAGCTTGCCTCCAGAAGTTGTGAATGCCCCAACACTGGAAGTCTTTAAGA